TGCATTCTATGAAAAAAATCATGTGACTTCGAAAAAACGATCAGGTATGTTTAAAAACGCTTTAAAATTTTATATTTTTGGTCTGAACTTTATTTAAGCTCTAACTCTAAATAAATAATTATGTTCCTTTTAAAGGGATGCGTGTAACCATGATGTATAGAAATAAAAACTCTAAAACATTAAAATAAGAAAGAACTTTTCTGATCCATATTTTGGAAGTATAAACAATTATTATTTTGGAATTCTAACACTTTATATCAGATATCTGATATACAATAATTCTATGTTAAAATCAAAATATAATAACGGGGAAAAAACACAAAACAATAAAACACAAAACAATGAAACACAAAACATATAAAACAAAAACATACAAATAAAATACAAAATAATCATATTCACATTTTTTTTTCTCCGCCTGAAATGATAGTTACATTTTGGTACGTTATAAACTATTATCAACTTTTATTTTTTTTATATGCAGAAAACAGCCTTTAAATTTTTTTTACCATCAGTGTTGATCGTACAACCTCACAGTGATGTGTCGGGAAATCTGTCAGACGTTTGCTTTTATTTTTACCAGAGACATATGTAATATATGTCTCTGCCTTTACTGACAATTTAATGTTATTGCTGCATAATTAAAAAAATGGGAACCATTATATCAAACACAGCAATGTTTATTCATTTTAAAAGAGGGACGAAAGATACCAGAGGGACAGTCAAACTTATAGATCGAAAACAAACTGACAACGCCATGGCCAAAAATAAAAAGACAAACAGACAAATAATAGTACAGATGACACAACATAGAAAACTAAAGTCTAAGCAACACGAACCCCACCAAAAACTGAGGTGATCTCAGGTGCTCCGGAAGGGTAAGCAGATCCTGCTCCACATGTGGCACCCGTCGTGTTGCTTATGTTATTACAAATCCGGTAAATAGTCTAATTCGGTAAGTCACATTCGTGGAAAGGGAAGGGTATTGAAGTTACGACATAAGGAACATATCCGATATCATCTGTGAAACGGTTATTTAAAGTTCATTGATTTAACATTTAATCCTGCAAGTTGGAGTAATTTTGAAATGCATTTATTCTCGGGACTAAGCTTACTGACATTGAATTGTATGTTCTTCTTCTGAACTTTTACTCAATATAAATCTTAGAAGTCAATGAAAAATGACGTGTAGTAGAATTTAATCAGAATATCTGTGATAACCTTTAAGTAAAAAATTACTCAAGTTTGGACATTTTTTATCCGCATTTAGGGATCTTCGATATCACAATTCTAAGGTCTATCTTGCACATATACACAAATATGTGAATAGTCTATATAAATATAAAAATCAAACCTTAAAGTTTTGTTTACATGTAACAAACCTTTTTTCCATTTCGAATCATTTTTACACAATTTTGTATATTGTAAAAGAATGGCGAAAGATACCAAAGGGACATTCAAACTCATAAGTCGAAAAGTAACTGTTCTTGCGTTTGTTTGTTCTGTATTTCTGTCACGTAGTGTTGTCATTTTAGCGATATTTTTTAACATTGCCATATAAGCGGGAGGTTTGGCTAGTCATAAAACCAGGTTCAACCCACCATTTTTTCTTAAAATGTCCTGTACCAAGTCAGGAATATGCCGGTTGGTATCTAATAATTCGTTTCTATATATGTTGGCGTTTGTTTTTATTGCACTTCAGTGTTTATGCTGTTCCGTTGTTTTTCTCTTATATTTGATGTGTTTCCCTCGGTTTTGGTTTGTAACCCGGATTTGTTTTCTGTCAATCGATTTATGACTTTTGAACAGCGGTATACTACTGTTGCCTTTATTTAACCTCGCCACATTCTATATGTGTCTGTCCCAAGCCTGTAATTGAGTGGTGGTTGTTGTTTGTTGCTGTTTATCATAATTGTTTTTTGTTTATTGTTTCGTATAGTGTGTTCTTCTGTTGTGTTGTTGCACAACTGTCCCAGGTTAGGGGAAAGTGTTTGGCGCAATCTAACTATTTTAACCCCGCCACATTCTGTATGTCCCTGTCCCAAGTCAGGAGCATGTAATTCAATGGTTATCGTTTGTAGCTGTATATAATATTTGTTTTTCGTAAATCATTTTGTACATTAATTAGGCCGTAAATTTTCTCGTTTGAATTGTTATGCATTTGTCATTTTGATACCTTTTATAAATGTAGTATGGGTTTTGCTCATTGTTGGAGGCCGTGCGGTGACCTACGTAATTTGGTCACTGGTTGAGAGTTGTCTCATTGGCAATCGTACCACATCTTCTTATTTTTATATGTACAGATTGGTCTACAATTTAAGTGTACCGAACAGACTTTCTGAATAATACTGCATGAATCTTTTTCAATGACACTTCACCGGATTTTCCGGGTTTGTCATGTTGGTCCTTTTTTTATTTCATTAGCCCTTCAACGTGTCGATGCATCCGGTCTCGCTCCTTATGGTGTTCGTACAATTTTTTTATTGTAACCTTGATTTGTCTTCTGAATCGATTGATGAGATTTAAAAATCGGTAAACTAATTTTGTCTGAATTTGAGCTACACAAAACTCAATTACCTACAACCTTGCAGTAAGAACATAATGTTCGAAAAAAAATTGTGCAGAAAATGGTGGGGTACTATTTCAAGTAGATGACAATTTTCACAAAAAATTATATATCGTGTTCAAAACGCAAACACATATTTGCTTCGAAACAAAATAATAAGACTATTTGGCTAAATTTATTTACAATTGCATTTAAAACCTTATATTGTCAAACATATGCAAAATCTTTACAAATAAATCCTTGTATGTATGAACAAAAGCAGATGTCGGGTAGGTATTGCCATAAAATAAGTCAATGAAAGAGAAACCAAACGACACAAATAACCTTTTTTTTCATTTTTTGGTAGTTAACTTGTTAATCCATCTTTAAGTAATCGTTTACTTTCATGATGATATGATCGACAGACTTGAATATCCTTCTTGTAAAAATCGTCATATTTATAAAATATGTTTTATTTCTAACGAAGTGAAATCAATATATACAAAAATCCGATATTTTTAGTAATAAAACAAATATTATCATAGTAAACAAAAAAGATAATGAAGTTCACTGATTTTGCATTTGGAACAAATTAAAGCCCTTTTAGATGACGTCATCACAATCCATGTAAACTAGGTTACAAGACAGTAATGATATCTGATTTTATTGTAGTTTTACAGCTCCTGGTTCGGCATCAGTCAAAGTAAGCATGATTTCTCGTCTTCTCAAGGGACAGCAACTAGCTGTAAAACATAATCAAAATAACAATCAATCATATCACTCTTGATATATTCATAACTTTAATAATCATCAAAGCACATGGTACCAAAAGGCAAATAAATCTCCCCCATGATATTGGCTAAAAAGCATGCTAAAATCTCAACTGCAAACTGATTTTAGTTCAATTCAAGTTAGATTAACAGCCGGGAAACTTATGTTGTAAGAAATTCATTAAGATGACAGTTGTGTTAAAGCTGAATATTTATGATTTAAGGAATAATAGCGAGCAAAACAAAAATAATTTTAGATTATGTTTCCATTAAAATTTATTAATCCTCAAGCATTACAATAAAATCAAAATTTAAGATAATTATATCAAACACTCATCAAATATACGAGGCTATAGTTTAGTATGCCATACGTGCGTTACGTCTATTTTAGAATTATTAGTGGCGTTTGAATCAAATCAGTTTGATGGAAAAGGTCAATTACCAGCTTGACGAGCATTGAAAAACAAAAGTTTAAAAAGTTGGCCAAATCTAGCTAATGCAATCTATCCCTGGAATAGAAAAACCTTGAAATTTTGTTTGATTTAACTTTTTATGAATAGTTAAATTAAAGCAGAAGATCGAATTTATGATATTTCTTGTTAGCACAAAAGGGGTGACTACCGGGCCGGTGATACGAAACGTCCACCAGTAGTGACAATGACCAACTGGTTGAAAAAACAAATCAAAGATACCCGGTTTATAATTTTTGTACGCCAGACTTGCGTTTCGTCTACACAAGAGTCATCAGTGATGCGCGAACAAAAACAGATGGAAAACCAAATCAAATAGGAAGTTGAAAGCATGACAAACCGAAAATTCGGAAAATTTATGCAAAATAGGGCTAAGCAATATATGCCTTGGGGAAGAAAAAACCTTTAGTGCGTCGAATAATTCATAATTGTAATACTGTAAATTTACAGAAAATTAAAAATTTCAATGAGATTTCATCTCAACAACAACTACAATAAACATGGTAAATATTTCGATTATACGGGAATATCTAAATAACCCTTCATTTTCCCATCTTCAATAAACTTTACATGTATCTTATTTGTGTAAGAGTTGTCATCCTTTGGTAGGTATTTAAAATAATAAAATACCATAGATAAATGACTTAAATTCTGACCTTCGAGAACTTACAAGTTATGTAAAATTCATTTTTCAATAGTGGCATAAAAAATAAAAATACAAGAATCAACAGTACATTACCGATGTTCATTTTGAATACACAAACCAAAGGGAGGTCATTCGTGTAGAACTTCTGGTTGAAAAAAAGGAATATGGCATACTAGTTCTGATTGAACAATTGAAATGGCAGAAAAAGTTTATATATCCAACTAGAAATAAATCGTTTAAAGTTGATACGCAATAGATAAAATATAAAGAAAAAGTAGAAGACGATAATTTGTTGCAAGAATTTTGTAAGGTAAAAAAAGCTATCAGTTTCAGAATCATAATTTCACATCACTACACTAGACATCGCTGCGGGTATTAGTATATATCTTCTGATTATGCCAATGCCATACTTTTCATATGTATTCTTTTTTTTTTAAATTGAACCAAGTATTTTATTTTTTAGTAAGAAAGTAGTGATAGCGGTAATTTTCTGTTTACAAAATAACTAATGAAATGAAACGGATCGTATTTAAAATCAGTGGCACGTATCGTGTATTTAAATGAAAGAAAAGAAACTTCTGACAATAAAACAATGTTACCATTCTAATCAAAGGTAGGATATATTGAAAAATATATATTTTTATATTTATGCATTTGAAACTTTTACCCTTCTATCAAGATATTCCAAAGAAAAATTGTTTGTGACTGATGATGAAGATGAACACCAGTTCTCTAATATTATTTACAATGTAGGGTATTTCTAAATCTCACTTTTCAAATACACAAAGTATTTGATAAAACTCTTCTTATTTTAGCATTTTAGTATGTAACTATCAATTAATGATTTCTGTACATTATGGTTTTGTTATCTAATTTTTAATTTAATCAATATACATTCCATACAGTAAATGTCAAACAAATCATTCTATTATAATTTTGAAAGATTATAACAGTAGTAAATGATTTTTGTTAAGCTATTTTGATTTTACATCAATTCATCCAAACAATTCAATATTTATTTCTGAGCATACTTAAATAACACCAGCTTCTGAACAGATTTTAACTACACTGAACAGATCTTTATTGATCATAAATGAAAATCGTACTGAATTTACCGCAGTTGATATATATGTATGACTAAAATTGACTGAAATATTGAACTTGACTGACTTATATTGCTCAGTCTGAATCTTTGATATCAGGGTAGAATTTAAAACCACAAGTCAAAAACAGACAGGCAACACCACGACTAAAAGAAGAAAATAAAGACAAAATGTCAAGTAAAACCACACAGAAAACTAAGGATTGAGTAAAACCATTTCAATCCTGCTCAACTAGTGACACCTGTTAATTACACCTATAAAATTACGCTGATCAGTCGTAACAAAGTTTTAAATGACATTTTTTTCATGACAATTGTTAGAAAAAACCATTACATATTGAAAGGACCGACACTGAAATAAAATATATCACAAGAAGCTAAAGAAAAAAAAAGAGGTGGCACAGTGGTATTTCTGAGCCATAGGGATAGCCTTTTTAGAATTTTCACCACTTTCTTACACTGACCCAGAAACTACATACACAATTAATTGAAAAACCTTCAGCTTGGAAAAATATGTACAGTAGATGTGTGTTTTTATCCAATAACAGTGTTCATATACATTGACCTAAGTAGGGTACATAAAAGAGCATCCGAGTTCCCGGAAAGTAAATACTACCGTGCCACCTAAACTCAATTAAAGAGAAGTGTGAACTCATGTGCTACGAAACGACAAGCAGTTCCTGCATCCTTTTAAGCATCAGTCGTGTTGTTCATAACAAGTAAGCTTCCTTTGAAAAGTTGGTATTGTTATAAACTTGTAAATGCAGATGAGATTGTGGTCACCATAAATATATTTGTAAATATATTTTTTTAATTAAGAAAATATTACTGGGGGGAAGAGAAGAAAAATAGAAGAAAGACAGAGGAATGCCACGCCAATAGCAATTTTACATCATAAAATTGACAATGAGGGTCGGTTGAGAACAAAAAGATAGGATTTCAGCTTGCTTTCATATTGTGAATTCTCCATTTATATGTATCAACTGTCCAGCAGCGCTTGCATATGAAATATATATCTTCCAGTTGATACGATATTCAAAAGGTTTCCTGTCATGATTTCTTTGATAGAGAGTTGTTGCTTACAAGGAAACGTTTGAACCAAGGGTTCCCAGAGGTAAAGTTGAAGTCGTCTCTTAGGAAGTTTTACGGGCGTTATCATGAGTTGGTCGTCTATTATATAATTACCGTGTCTCAGAGGACCACGGACATGTTCCCATTGTCAAAGCGACAAGCCCGTCTTCTTTTCATCGATTATGACATCACTGAATGAGACTCAATACCAAGTATGTACTTACCATGAGCTAACGTGTGGAGCAGGATCTGCTTACCCTTCCTCTATACTTGAGATCACCCGGGTTATTTATTGTGTTCGTTTTGCCATGTCTTTTTCTCATATAGTGTTTTGTAGACTGTTGTTTCTCATTTTGTCGTTTTTATTCTTGCCATGATTTTGCCAGTCTCTCTACGACTTATGAGTTATGTTTCTCCCTTTGAAATTTTGTGCCTTTTTAAATGCTAATAAATGAAGGAATACTGAAGTTTGAAATTAAACAAATTTTTTTTCTGGACAAAGGAAATCCAACGCCGTAACCGGTACAAACAAAACAGAAATTGGCATATGTGAATGGTTTTACACTAGTAATTTTAGGGGCCCTTTATAGCTTACTGTTCGGTGTGAGCCAAGGCTCCGTGTTGAAGACCGTACTGTGACCTGTAATGGTTTACTTTTATAGATTTTGACTTGGATGGAGAGTTGTCTCATTGGCACTCATACCACATCTTCTTATATCTATATAGAATCACAAATACAAAAGCTAAAGCCAAATCAACCCTGATTAAATTAATGGTGAATGTAAATACTCTTGAAATTGAGAGGGTTCTGCAAGCCCGATTAAAAGTAGATAATTAAATCATAGAGGCATCTATAAACTTTCGCGGAGATATCTTCAGCTTTATCACGAAGACTAATTGTTTTCAATAGTTTTTGTAAGAATGAACCTTCCATGAAGTGAACCGTGATAGAACGAACAAGTCAAGGAATACCGTTTCAATTGGAAGATATATATACACCTAATGCAGTTGCTGCTTCTTGAAAATTGATACTTTTCAAGTTGGAAAATTTAAGTAATCTCTTTTGTCGTCAATTTTACATTCCAACCTACTCGTTATGTAAATTGCATTATGTAAGTCGTGAAATAAAGCAGACATTATTGTATCTGTAGGATCCTTTAGTTGAGCGGAATAGATGTAAATATCATTGTCACTAAACTTTGAATTACTCATTTATATTGAGGTTCGTGAAGTTAAAGGACAATGCTAGCTTCTTCATGGGAATCCTCTGTTTGAAGTCTGTCTCATGCAAATACAGAAATAGGTTGGCAAGACAGGACATAGTTGGTTCTCATAGGAATGGTGACTGGTTGTTGAAAAAACACGTCCTCAAGGTATTCCAATTGTAGCAAATAGTTGTTGATTTAAAAATCAATAATGACGATCATTCAAGATCGGTTTTAGATCAAAATTCTATATAAATTTAATAACTTAGTTTATCCGCGGTTTGTGTTGCTCAATCTTTGATTGTCTCCATTGTTTTTTTTTACTATTCGTCTATTCTTTTTGACATCTTTCTATCATTGTTCGACTCGTGGTTTTTAATTGAAACCTTAGTATATTCTTCTTTACTCGTGTTTAAAGTGTTGACTTCATGGAAGATTTTCCCCGGCAACATAGACGGATAAAATCTTTGACGTTATAGATATATCACATTATGATAATGTAACTTAGTGGTCTGATTGAAATGTTTTTTTCTTATCAAAGTTCTAAAACATATATACAAGTCTTGTTTTTACCATTTCTTTCATAGTTTGTTTTGACATCTATTGTCAAAAAAACGTTTAAAAAAAAACAAACAAGTATTTATAAGTTAATAAATTTGGCTATACATTTAAGGTCCCTTTTTGCTCCTCGCATATTCAAGTATTTGTCGACCTTAACTTTCACATTATTGGGTTTGAACGTTTGAACGTTCCAAATGAAGGTAAATCCGATTTTTTAAAGTGCTATTTCCATCTTTTAAACGAAAACATCACTTTTTAAATTCCATGCGCCCGAATTGTTTTTCTGGTTTTATCTTTGCTCGGAATGCCCAAACCCAAAACATTTGAAAGTCAAGAATGTATAAATACCTAAAAACGTGAGAAGCAACAGGACCAACAACGGACCTAAATGAATAGCCAAATGTATCTGAGGTCAATATTGCCTGAGGGAGTTGGAACCTTTGTTTCTTAATAATTTCTTAATTTATCAACGGAGGATTTAAGAAAAGTTTGTTATTAATCATGTTTTACTAATATCTGATAAGAACATGTATAAAGTTTTTACTTGCATTAAAACTGAAAAACAAATTTCAGCTGTAGATTACATTAGATAAAATGAAAGTATCCTAACAATAACACCCTTTCTATTGTTCTATTTTACCTATTCTTTTACTTACACCATGTAAGGACGTGAAAAATTTACAAAAGTTAATTTTTCTGTATAATAGATGTCAGAAGAGGTTATCGACTGGAGGCACGATAAATCGCCACAAGACTGTCTTAAATATTTACTGTTTAAAGAAACCTTATCAGATGTTCATTTCATCTTCAACAATGACTATTCGTCTGGTAGGGTACCAGCACATACATTTGTACTTGCCATGCGCAGTGCAGTCTTTGAAGATGAATTATTCACAGAACGTGCAGAACACGAGGATATTCTTGTAGAAGATATTTCAAAAGACATATTTGAAATGATGTTAAAGTAAGCTCCTAGTTCGATTTCATTTCTTTTTCTACAATTGTCATTCATTGATCAAAACTATAATATTAACTCTGTGTAATTTTCATTACTTTTTACTCTGATAAAAAGTTTGTCACTTAAAATTTGCTTTGAAGGAACATTTTATCTTCGTTTAAATATTACAGTCTTTGTAAATGAAACATATGGTTGTTTAGAATTTTATTTGGTAACAACACTGCTGACTGAATGGAGTAATTTTTTTCGAAACGTGTTAACGATAAAAAGAAATGTCTAAAAATTCAATTTTTTTTTTTTAAATCTTTGATAATTTTTCGATGCATATTTTCATAGTTAGTGTATTTGATGCTATAATTAAAGCTTTTATTTTAGATATATTTACACAAACATGACAAAGATAACCAATGCAAATAGCGTCGGTTTGTTACAAGCAGCCATGAAATATCAGATTCAGGGACTAGCCGACTTGTGTGTTGCACATATGGAAAGATCACTCAACCGGAACAACGTCTGCAAAATTTTGGACGAGGCAGTCAACTTCGACATTCCTTCATTAAAGACAAGTGCTTTATATTTTCTTTCAAATTTTACCAGGGAAGTTTTCAAAACAGAGGGATTTTTATCTCTTTCTTACACTAGTCTGGATTTAATTTTAGGTAAGATTTACGTAAGGAGATATATGGCATTAATATCGCAACACTTCAATTCATTTTCCAGAATACCACAATTTTGATGATGATAATATGATTAATCACTTAACCAAAGCTTTTCTTATCATCAGAACAATCATTTTTGAAATTTTCAGATTCATTTTTGATTGAATTTCATTTTATAAAGAAACGCATTTTGTATCCCGAATCAACATAATTGACATAATGTTCAACAATATTTGTGTTATTGCTAATTGAAAGAGATGTACAATTATCAAATGACAAGATATGTGATTTAAGCAAGTATTATAAGACTTATGAATTTCTTACCATTTTATGCTATAAAAAACACCAACACAATTCAAATCCTTTCTTGAAGACATTGTGTATATCAAGTTGGAAAAAAAAATACTTCCTCCATCGTTTAACAGATGAAAAGTTTTGTATAGTTCGTACAGAGAGCGATGACCTATCCCATCACGCCCAACATTAATAAAACGTTATTTTCAGTTGCCGGACGGATGCATTTTTCTATACCCTCAGTCAATTTAGTCAACGGTTGATGTCAAGAAGTAAATTAGGTATATATTATAAAATTGTTTAAAAGGGTATTTTTTAAAATTAAATTAACACAGCAAATATAATTGTTTTTAGACCTTCTGTCTTCTTTATCATTGTAGATCTTGACAAACTGTCAACATCTGAAATTGAAGTTTTCAAAGCTGTCGTTTTGTGGGCTGATGAGCAATGTAAAAAGAACAATATACCAGATGAAGGGGAAAATAAAAGAAACATACTTGGAGACATGTTCTACAAACTCAGAATTCCTGCTATGACTTTACGACAGTATTCGAACATTGTGGTAACGAGTGAATTACTGACCGAACAAGAACAGTTACAGTTATTTAAGTACTTCACACTTCAACCGTCATCGAAATCAAAAGTATCCGTGACAATTGCTAATTTTCCGATGAAACCAAGGTTAAGGACAAAGGCTTTAGATGATTGGCAACCCAAAAAGTCAACACCAACAAAAAAGAAACAAGTACGATTTGCATCAAGTAATCAAGTAAATGTAACGCAACTCCCGGCCGAGCCAGTTTACGGGGAAGATAACTTAGACGCAAGAGAAGTGGAAGCTCAAGAAGTTTTTGGATGAAATACTTGTACTATGTACTGTCAATCAGTAATAAAACATGTTATCTTTAGATAACAAGCTAGTTGTGCTTTTAATATTTTGTTCTGTTGATCTGTTTTTGTGTACTCACTGAATATTAATATTTGTTATACAAGTATGTTTATATAAAAGTTTTTTTTTGTCTGTTTCTTTTTTTTTTCTCATACCTTATTCGATCAAGCCGGAAATAAAATATCAAATCGTGCGGTCTGATATGCAGTCTGGTAAGAAATCTTTATATTATCCGTATTAAATGATATTGATAGTCTGGTAAGAAATCTTTATATTATCCGTATTAAATGATATTGATAATTTAGGATAAATAGATTATCGCGAACCGTGTTCATTATCGATCTTGAATTATTCCACAATAATATCGAATTAAAGACCTCTCCCTGAGAATCGATATAGAGCAATAAGGAAGTTTACGAATGATACAACCAGTTTAAAGAAAAAACATTACAGATTCATCTCCCCTCCTCCGGATTGACCTTCCATTGTCAATAATTGATTACATGTTCTGCCCGATTTCACTTACAACCGAAAACTAAACCAGTACGATTGACTGTTGTTTGCTCAACGTCTAGTGGCAATTATTTAATACATATTCAGGAAGAAAACAAATTATAAGACCGTTATTACAGTAAGTTGAATCTGCAAGAAAGGTCGCATGGGAGGAAGTACAGGAAGTTGCGACTGCCATTGAAAAAATAAGGGATTGTTGGAAAGGGGAGACATCTTACATTGTTACAGGGCACCTACGGCCCCTCAGAGAGTTGTTGTCAGTATACTTTAACGTGTAGAGCTAGTGGCATACACCCAAACACGAGGATATACTTCGATATGTTATCAGTAAATTGATTAGCCAAAGGGACAATAAAAATGTTTTAGGGAAAAGTTTGGTGTAGTTTTGTTTATACTAGATGGGATCATTAATTAGACGATAACTCTCATTGATGTTTTATACTGAATTCTTAGAGGTTATAATCAGCAGTGTCCATGTTGTACCTTAATGTATTTGCATATGTCACCATTCGTTGTGGACTAAAGCAAAGAAAATAAATGTAAATTAATTTACCAAAAATCAAATGTAACAACATATAACAAGGTTGTAACAACACAGCAGCAAACTGTCAAATCCTCTGGAAAGAGATTGACTAATCAGGTAGGTACTAAGCACAAAGATACCAATGTTTTTTTATCATTAAGAATTTTAGAAAAAGAGTTCCCTTTTAAGGTTTTCTTTCAATAGATTATAACTTGGCCTTTAGTTGCCCTAGGTATCACTATTAGTGGATATGATGCGTACCATTGAGTTCACATATGAACATTGGCCTTGATTTAACGGGTTTTTTTCACATTTGGCATAATTATGCAACATATTCTAAAACTCACTTTGACTGATCTTTTTGATTGTATAAGTTGGAAATATAAAGAACATATAAGGAAGTGAACATGTTTTCGTTCACAACAACTTATACAATCATAATTTACTTGATATATTTTTTAATTCATTCCAATCATGGACATTCTTGTGATATTGCCTTCTAGACAATAACATTATCTAATTATGATTTATTGATTGTTCTTTGCTGAACGTCCAGTGGCCAATATAAATTATAAATCCCAGAGATAGGTTTTCAAATTGAGTCTACCGGAATGGACGGTGTGGAATTTTGACTGGCAGTAGAACAAGATGATATGTTGGTTAGAGGTGGGAAATATCTAGCAAGAGGTTACCTAAGGGCCCATCAAAGAGATATTGCGAGTGTTCTTTAATGTCCCGATATCAGACCATGTTACTCTCCTCGTGTATAGAATTTAACGTCCCACACAGCCAACCGGACACTCCTTAACATCAAATGGTATTCCTGACAGACGGTATTGATCATGTTGACAATATTTCTAAATCCTGCATTTATGGAAAAAATAATATATATTCGAGTCGTACTTTCCATCAAATTTTTTTTAACGAAACGAGAAAAAAAAATCGGTTAAAATGTCAAACCAAAACAAACCTTTTGCAGTAGTTTACCCGATTAAAATTGTGACAAAAAGGTATTTAATAAAATAATTGTTTTTGTTTTCAGATAACGGTGCTACCTTGATATTGACAATCGTTAATAGAATCTTTATTGAGTCAAAAGAAATGTTAAGAAATTTAAATCAACACGTTTAATCTCCGTCATTTAAAAGACAAAAATAGATTTAAAAATAATTATCAAAACAATAAAACCGATCAAGATATTTTATATCGCATATATTGTTCTTAACTATCAAATCCACATTGTTCAGCCATTAGGCCATGCAATAACAATTATAAATGTTCATTAAGATACAGTTTTTCATCTGCTCTCTCGCAAGTTTATTTTTGCATTTGCCCTTCAATCTATCATTTTCTTAAGTGAATAACTTTTTCAGCAATATATACAATCTATGTACATTGTCGGAAAATATGAAATTTATTTGTACGAGCTTTCAGTAGAAACAGATCGAAAAGCGATGCTCGCCGAGCTTTTCTCTTTGTTTCGTAGCAAGTACAAATAAATTATATATTTCCAAAAATGTACATATATTGTGTTTATCCTGTAATTTACACCCGGCCCTTAGAGGTTTAGTTTTTTAATACAAATCGTTTTCTCTGATCTTTAAAAGAAATTGACATTAGTTTAAACGCGGACCGCGAAGAGGACCCCAAAACGAACTGTCACGCTACAGAAATATTCACATTACCGTTTGCTCAGCATGGTAGTCGAGTAACAGGAGACTTTATTTATGGTCCAGTTATTTGTGCAATAGTTGACTGATTGCAGGATAAAATTATATTATGTGTTAACGAGATAGCCGAAATTACTGGACATGCACGGGTATTTTACATATTGGTTCAGCACACATTTGCCTCATACAACAGCTTTTGAAAATGCTATTGTAAAACTGTTATATACATGTTCCGGACCGTATGATTGTTTGGACCATATGCGTATATGTCAACGTATATATGTCCCGCCTAACAAAAGTTCCCCCTGGAAACTTTGTTATAAACAATGCCATAATATCAGTTCCTGTTGGAACAAATATTCTGTAACCTTTATTCCGTAAGGGGACAAATTCTATAATATTTGTTCCAGTGGAAAATATATTACAGAATATTTCTTCCACTTAGGACTTATATTTCATGACATATATATTCATATGTCCGACCATACGCGTATGGTAAGGTTAATTAACACGACGAAAGTTGAGCTAAATATAAGACTCCATAACTATTAGGGTAAAATATCCAAAAGATTATTAAAATCTTATTTCAAAGATGTTACCATCCAAAAAAGAATTTTACAGAGCGACAGATCACGTTTGGTGTAAAATGAGAACAAAAATAACTCCACTATATATTCATAATTGAAATGCATATGACCGGAATATCGCTCTTGTGCGTATTTAAAAATATATAATTTTATTTTTGGACATTTAACAAGGCTAGAAAATTAAAACACAATTTTATTTAGCGAGGCCTTCCATCAAAAAGTATGAATAGGGTAACAGGATCTGTTGGTGTATCATATTCATGGAAGGAAGAAACAAGATTCCGCCGAGTTTGTCGGTCGTTAAACATGACGAAAATATATGATATTCCGGAATATATACTGGCATCTTACGTGTTATTTTGGTTTGGTTTTTTCTTCCATTTCATTGGATTTGTTGCTCCAAACTGGTATAGCTATACAAAGTATGGTAACACTACTATATATGGCGGTCTTTGGAAAACCTGTGATAAAAATATCGGTTGTCATGATATAATTGATGGTGACGTATCTTGTAAGTTAGCTTAAAACAGTACCTTTCTAATATTTGATTAAAAAATTTCACCGGTATTTTCGCTACAAAAGTTACAGGTGGGATTTATTCGCATTCAGTTTCTATCCTGTTTTGATTTTTAAGATATATTTAATGTTTATTTAAACAAAGCATAAACACGTTTATATAAATATTTTGCATTTTTCTTATTTTTTAAATAGTTTTTTGTGTTTTTCCATGATTTCTTGTGTGAAGACTCTTCTTCGGGGAAAAGAATTCACGCGACTTATATCTCCAAGAAATTGCATATCTTAAATATACCATTATTCCTTGGTATCACCTATATTGGATGTCACCAAACATATTTCTGAAATAGAACTTTCGTCATAGAATTATTAATAAGCTTCAAGTGAAAACATTCACGCAGACACTATTCCTCCTTTACATGATTAATGTTTTAATGGAAATTTTGGGTTAAATATCCCATTTTTTTGTCGGTTGCGGCTTTTTCTTATGTTATTTGTCAGACGGTGATTTTCCAGGTGAATTACGTTTTTCATAATTTTCAGATGTTTTTGTTTTGAATTTTTTACCTTTGGTAATAACTAGCCATGTTTGGTGAAAGTTTGTGTCAAAATCAAAAATACACAAAGAAGATCCTAGATTAATATATATTTACCCAAAGTTTGGAAGCAATAAGTCTTTCGCAGAATTTTTCACAACTTTTATTGAATTTTAAGTCCAAATCTTCCCCATTTAGTAACGATGGCTGTTATTTTGAGGTCATCATCAGCAAACTGAAGGAAATCCTAGCTGTGCCGTTTACAAAGTCTTGTAGCAATTGACCGTTTGAAAGGATATTACGAATTTGTAAAACGAATGTTTTGTCAACTTTCCATTTTAATAGCGAAGGTGGTCGTTTGTGATATTAAACATCGTGAACTACCTCATTGTCAAATGTAACTTTAACTGTATTATTTCCTCAAAAGTGTGATTGCGATTGGTCCTTTATGGAATTTTCCAAATGTTTTATTTTATATTTTGTTAAATTTTCTATTTCTAGTAACGAAGATAGCCATATTCTAACAATATAATGATATTGCACCCACCCCATTTTTATTTTTCTCTAATAATGATGACGACCATAGTTGATGGCAGTTAGGATCATTTTCATATCTCTGGAGGGCATATGATACAGTAAAAATCTCACGTTGATTTTCACCATTTTTTCGAAATATGAATGATTTTGGTACAAGAAATTATTTTTCTTCCTCACGGCATATTCACTACAATTCTTTGTCATTACTTCGTGTTTAATTTTTCCTCTAATTTAAACATTTTTATCAT